CCCCTATGGCCTGCTTTTGTAGCCAGCCCCCACCGCTGTCGGTCCGCACTCCTGCGCCGCCTGCAGGCGCCGCCCCACCGCCGGCCTGCGCCTGGCCAATCCAGCGCCCCCCATTCCCACCCCCGCGGGACAGACGCACTTGAGGAAGGTGAGGGCGTCCGGGGTGATCGAGGAGCCAAAGTGGCGCTCCAGCGTCTCGGGGCGCCCCATGTCCGGGAATTTCACGCCTGCAAAACGCGTGCTCTTGAGGAAGAGGATGTCGTGCGCGCGGCACATGGGGCCTAGAAATTGCGGCGGTCAACAGCGCACGCGCCGGGGTTAGGGGAGTGGTGCGGGCGGCAGCGTTTGAGCAGCGAGTCATCAAGGCCGGCGGGGACCATTTGAGGGGTGCGGCTCTGGGCGGGGTGCGCGGCGTTGCTGGCATCTGGTTTGCGGCTGCATGGGTGTCAAGTACACGCCAGCACCAATTGAAGTGCACATACACGTCAGCGGCTGATCCCTGCTTGCGTGACCCCGCCGGTGACCTGCTTGCCACCTGCAACCGCAGACCCAGCTGGTCCGCGGCGCACGCAAGCTGTGCAGCTCGCACCAGGGCGCCCGCTGCCCAGGGGCGCTAGCCGGGCGCGACATGGGCACCGCACAGCGCGCCGTTGACGGGCAGCCCCGCCCGCTGCTGGCGCCCCTCGCCCCGCCCAGCAGCAACCTCTCCCCTTCGGCGCTTGCGCATGCACGCGCGCACGCATGTACGCCCGGCCGGCCCTACAGATGCCGTGCTGATGCCCTGCAACCCCTATTCGGCATCGCGCCGTCCGACGCACCTCGACGCGCAAAAAAACCGTACTACCAACGATAAGACCAAGAAAGACACCCACCCAGCATGCGCTGCACTATGTAGAGCTGGTCAATGTCCGACTCCCCGGGGAAGAGCGCCTGCCCGTCCGACAGCTCCGCCATGATGCAGCCGACCGCCCACACGTCGACGGGCTTGCCGTAGTGCGAGCTGCCCAGCAGCAGCTCAGGCGCCCTGTCCATGTGCCCCGCGGGGGCGCGCACCCGGCACGGGGAGGGGGGCCAAGGTAGGGTTGGTGTGCCGCACCCGTGCCCACGCGTAGCGCGAGGGGGCGCCCTGCTCTGCGCTGTCACGCGAATATGCGCCGGCTGACGAGAGTGTTTGTGCATGTGCTGGCAGGAACTGCGGGTATAATCTCAACATTGGGCCCAGCCAAAAGGCAGTAGAAGCACTGGAAGCTTTCAAGGCAGAAAATCACAGACGCGTGCCCCCAAAGCACTCCTGGCTTTGTGTTGCTTTTGTCAATTCCAAGGCCCCACCTGTACCACCGGGTCGAAACGTAGTCGGTTATGCTGACATCAGCGGCGTCGGGCAGCACTCGGGCGAAGCCAAAGTCGCACAGCTTAAGCTGGCCCACCCCGTCCGCGCTGCCTGCGGACGGGGCACACGCAAGCGGGTGGCGGCCGGGGAGATGTTGATTGTGCTGCGGCTGGACGGGTGAGGCGGCTCCTGAGCGCCAACTTGCTTTCCATGATGCTTATGTGTGGCAAGCAGCCATAGGGACGAGGTCACCCGCCAAAAGGCAACCGGCACTATGCACGGCGTGCTGGGCAGAGTGGCGTTTGTTAGAGGGGCTGAGCTCCCATCACGTGCTTGCACACACACACACACACACACACACACACACACACACACACACACACACACACACACACGCACGCACGCACGCACGCACGCACGCACGCACGCACACATACATACACACATGCATACAATCGCAAACACGCAAGCTGTCCCATTTGATGTGCGGCACTGGTGGCTGCCGTACCGTCACCTTAGGCAGTTGATCTGAACCGGATCCTAATGACATGCAGTCAGAAAATCGGAAACGATCTATCGTTGCGCGATAAGTCGCGCCCTTTAGGCCTGAAACACTCACCCTGGGGGACGTGCATGGGCAAGTTTGACGCTGATCTCATTGTTGATGTTGTGACATAAGCCTTGATGGCTCGACACATTACGACTGTGCAAGTCTCCCCCTGCCGTTTTACTGGCTGAGAGTTCGACGCAGAAACCAGAACACCTTGGCTCTGTGTGCCTGCATGGATCGCGTCGGATAGAGCAAACAAGTGGAGTGGGAGCAAAAGAAGTGAGCAATTGCGAAAAAGCTGGCCGACAGCTGCATGCCGCATGCACCAGGACTTTGTGCAGCGGTAGCCGCCAAAGGCGCCACCTCGGCTCAACCTGGCTCGGCTTGTCAGTGCACACGAAAGATGTCGTGCATCTGCCGTATATGCAGCATTCCGTTCAGCACGCAAATGGTTCCGGTCAAGCGGCTGATACCTTTCGCCCTCACTTGCCCCCTGTTGCCCCTGCATGGCAATGTGCTGGGTCCCAATTGAGCAGCGCTATGATTCCCCAGCTGGTGCGCCAGACGCTAGCTGCGCGCCCAAGCCACCTGTGCTTCAACCTGTGGGCCCGAATCATCGGCACCTCCAGGCACACCTGCGCCGCGCCATCGCTGGCCGTTGAGCTACTGCGCAGTCCCCGCAGGGCGCCCTGGAACACCCACCAATCATCTAGCCCCTGGACAGCGGACGGCAGCCACGGGAGCGGCATCGCTGGCTTCAAGTCTGGCGCAGCTAGCTTGGCACGCATGTGCGCTGAGCCCAGCTGCACCAAGCGCCCTGCCTTCAACTACGAGGGCTATTCCAAGGGCATCTTTTGCAAGGCGCATGCAGCGCCGAGCATGGTGGACGTGGAGAGTGCGCGCTGCCAGGAGCCCGGCTGCACCAAGTATCCTTCCTTCAACTATGAGGGCCAGTCCAAGGGCATCTTCTGCAAGGCGCATGCGGCGCCCAGCATGGTGGACGTGAAGAGCGTGCGCTGTCAGGAGCCCGGCTGCACCAAGTATCCTTCCTTCAACTACGAGGGCCAGTCCAAGAGCATCTTCTGCAAGGCGCATGCAGCACCAAGCATGGTGGACGTGAAGAGCGCGCGCTGCCGGGAGCCCGGCTGCACCAAGCATCCTGGCTACAACTTCGAGGGCCAGACCAAGCGCATCTTCTGTAAGGCCCATGCAGCTCCTAGCATGGTCGACGTGCAGAGTGTGCGCTGCCAGGAGCCCGGCTGCACCAAGCACCCTTCTTACAACTATGTGGGGCAATCCAAGCGTATCTTCTGCAAGGCGCATGCGGCGCCCAGCATGGTGGTCGTGACGAAGGCGCGCTGCCAGGAGCCAGGCTGCACCCAAATGCCCCTCTTCAACTACGAAGGCCAGTCCAAGGGCATCTGCTGCAAGGCGCATGCGGCGCCCAGCATGGTGGTCGTGACGAGGGCGCGCTGCCGGAAGCCCGGCTGCACCAAAACGCCCCTCTTCAACCACGAGGGCCAGTCGAAGGGCATCTTCTGCAAGGCGCATGCAGCGCCCGGCATGGTGGTCGTGAAGAGGGTGCGCTGCCGGGAGCCCGGCTGCACCAAGCACGCTGCCTTCAACCACAAGGGCAAGTCCAAGGGCATCTTCTGCAAGGGGCATGCAGCGCCCGGCATGGTGGTTGTGTTCCGAGCGCGCTGCCAGGAGCATGGCTGCACCAAGCGCCCATCCTTCAACTTTGAGGGCCAGTCCAAGGGCATCTATTGCAAGGCGCATGCAACGCCCAGCATGGTGGACGTGGAGAGCGCACGCTGCCAGGAGCCTGGCTGCACCAAGCAGGCTTCCTTCAACTACGAGGGCCAATCGAAGCGCATCTTCTGCAAGGCGCATGCAGCGCCCAGCATGGTGATTTTGTCAGGAGCGCGCTGCCAGGAGCCTGGCTGCACCAAGCACCCTGCCTTCAACTACGAGGGCCAGTCTCAGGGCATCTATTGCAAGGCGCATGCAGCGCCCAGCATGGTGGATGTCAAGAGCGCACGCTGCCAGGAGCCTGGCTGCACCAAGCACGCTGCCTTCAACCATGAGGGCCAGTCCAAGGGCATCTTCTGTAAGGCGCATGCAGCGCCCAGCATGGTGGATGTGCAGAGCGCGCGCTGTCAGGAGCCCGGCTGCACCAAGCGCCCTAACTTCAACTTTGAGGGCCAGTCCAAGGGCATCTTCTGCAAGGCGCATGCAGCGCCCAGCATGGTGAACGTGAAGAGTGCGCGCTGCCAGAAGCCCGGCTGCATCAAGCACCCTTCCTTCAACTTTGAGGGCCAGTCCAAGGGCATCTATTGCAAGGCGCATGCAACATCCAGCATGGTGGACGTGAAGAGCGTGCGCTGCCAGGAGCCTGGCTGCACCAAGCACGCTGTCTTCAACTACGAGGGGCAGTCCAAGCGCTTCTTCTGCAAGGCACATGCAAAGCCCAGCATGGTGAACGTGCACAGTGCGCGCTGCCAGGAGCCTGGCTGCACCAAACGCCCTGCCTTCAACTACGAGGGCCAGTCGAAGGGCATCTTTTGCAAGGCGCATGCGGCGCCCAGCATGGTGAACGTGAAGAAGGCGCGCTGACGGGAGCCGGGCTGCACCAAGCACCCTGCTGTCTTCAACTACGAGGGCCAATCCACGTACACCTTGTGCAAGGCGCATGCAGCGCCCAGCCTAGTGGACGTGAAGAGCGTGCGCTGCCATAAGCCCAGCTGCCCCAAGAAGCCCAGATTCTGCCCATGAGATCTTGCCCAAGGACGTCTTCTGCGAGGTGCACGGGGCGCCTGGCATGCCCCGCTGCACGACCTTTGCATCCTTGGAGTCCCTGAGCACACCCCAAGTGCTACTCCTGCAGGCGCACTTGCAGCTCAGCGTGGAGGATCCAAGTCACAACACACAATTGACAGCTTTGGTGGCACGTGCACTGGCGCAGAGCGGTGGCCATGCCAGGATGGGTGAGGTGAGCGCTCACCATCATCTGGGTGGGGCTTTGTAATGCTTGCTTTGCCGCATGTCACTCCCCCCTGCAAGTACGTGGGTGGCTACCATGCTTGAGTGTCTTGAGGCTTGGCCATGCGACATGGCCGTCTTAACAGACATTAACATGCATCACAACCACGGGATGCAACCACAACCACACTCGATATTCATACCTTGGCTTGGTGCTTTGGTTCACACCTGGTTATGGCAATCTCGAATCCACACAGTGTCCGTCTGTGCTTGCAAGCACCTCCCTACCTCACCCCACTCTGCTCGTTTTCATGCCCTCTCAGGGTGGCGTCATGCTGTCAGAGATGGTGGAGTGACTGCACCACGATGCGCACCCAAGCGGGACATGCTAGGTTGATTTTCTTGAGGTATAACGGGCCTGCAGCTATCTTCTATTTTATACCAGACATAAGATCATGCGCTTGCCATGTTGGTGCTTGCGGTAATTCGATTGGGGATTTCAAATACTAATGGACTTGATTTGCAATGGAGCTGCCTCCTTGCAGCTGTTTGACCCGACTTGCTTTGTTTCGACCCATACCCGCTGTCTTTTGTGGGGACGATGTCATGTGATGTGAGATGGCGCCATGCACCAACAAGACCGATCCTTCATTCCCTGCCATCTGCTTCTGTGACTGCATACCTCCGCAACGCCCCGCCAAAACCAACCATACTGTACCACACACACTTACGAAGCTATCAACTCAATCAACAGGTTGCCCTTCAGCACGACGCTGCAGCTCAGCATGGAGTCGATGGCACCCAGTTAGCAATCTGAGAGGGCATCTGTAGCCCGCACAACAATTTTACTTCCAGGATTAGGATTGGGATTGTTCCAGGGCATGGGTCAGCCGATGTAAGCAGTCCGTGCTCCGACGCGACCCGTGGAAGCTACCCACACACTGTACGCGCGCCTGCTCCCGGCGCCGCTGAAAGATCAAGTCCTGCAGGAATACACTGCAGCATTGCATCACCAACCGTACTTTGATACTTGCAACAGCCACACTCCAGCGCAGTGCACACGTCCACAAGTTTTGCATTCATGTAAACCATTCAAACACTTTAGCGTGAAGCCTGGGGAATCGCATCAGATTGGCACCTGATGTGCAGCATGCTTGCATGCAACATCGTAATTCACAAGGACCGCGGTCCCCACATGAGCTCAATATAGTACAGACGACTGCATGATGCACACATGAACGGCTGCATGCATGCACAAATCAACGGCTGCATGCATGCACACATGAGCGGCTGCATGCATGCACCCATGAACGACTGCATGCACACACACACACACATGAGCGCATGCTGCACGCATGAAAGCACGCGTTGCCATCAGCGGTGCGCATGAATGTAGTCCTCATAGATGAAGAGCTTCCGGAACCTCCACAGCCCCGCAGTCACCGCCATCGCCGCCACCGCCGCCTTCGCCGCCCATAAGGCAAACCGCACGCCCGCGGCCTTCAGGCCAATCCAGGAGCCCGCGGATGCTGCCAGCCCGATGTAGCCGCCGGCAGTGTCGGCCGCACCCAGTCCCAGGTGGACCGCGACCCCGATGATCGCGGAGGCGGCGGCCACGGCGGCCAGGGTCCCAAACACGACGAGCGCGACGTTGGTGTTGTGCAGCGTGGCGCGGCAGTGCGGGCAATGCTTCGTGTGCTGGTTGTACCTGGTGTGGTGTGGGGCGGGGCGGGATGGTGTGTTGTGGGGGCGGGAGGCGGTGTGTTGCGCCTAGGTCAAGGATTGTCACGCCGTTTAGAGTGCTTTGCGGCAGGAGGGGCGTATGTGTGAGGCTTTAGATGATGTGGATGGGAAAGTTGATGGTGCAAGGAGAAAAAAAGAAGGTTTTGATCAAAGAGGAGAGTGAACGCTGTAATCCTGGCGATGGCGATATACATACAAGCGGCCGCAAAAATCTCACAAGGTTTGCGATGCCTGCTGTTGTCGCTCGCCTGGGCATTCAGTGATTCAAGGTGCTTTGCCGCACACTTGACTCCCTCTGCATGATGCCGCGAACAAACAAAGACCAGTTCATGCCCTGCAAGCCTGCACCCAGACTCACCTGTCAAACACCTCCTCCCTCGGCGGCAGCGGCGGCGCGTCCCCGGCCGCCTTCGGCAACACAGGCAGCGCCGCCCCAAACCCGTCCAGCCACTTGCGCCAGGTCAGCACCGCCAGGTCAGCAGTGGCGGGCATGTAATACTGGCGGCTCCATGACGACGCGGTGCCGCGGGTGTACAGGGTATGGCCCTGGGTCATGGGTTCCGGGTGACACCGCGAACACGGGGTAAGGGGGGGGGGGCAGGTGTGTGCTCACTGCAGGTGGTGTCGGGTTGGGAGGCTAGCGGGTGAAGGTCAAGGGGGATGGGAGCACGTGAGCCCGGTGCGGCCCCCTGGCTGCGGTCGGGCCGCGGCCGGGCCGGCGATCTACTCGGCCAGAGGGTGCTGTCGCTGCGCCTGTGCGGCGAGCAGGTTTGGGCGTCACCACAATTGCAGCGCCCCTCGAGTCCCCGTGCCTACACCACCTTGATCCCAGGTCATGAGCCCCGCCCGCCCCCCTGGTTCTGATCCCTCCCCCTCAATCGCGCCATGACACTTGACATGTTCTACAAACCCAGCCGCAACCAACACCGTCCATGTGCTGCAGGAGCCACGCGCCCCCTGAACC